CTAAAGATCTGTTGTGTTTCACCTGTTTAACCCTCTACCCCTCCCCCGAACCGTGAATCTGTTACTACCTCTATATAGTTTGTCTTTTTCAGAATATCATGTAATTGGAATCATACAGTGTGTGGTCTTTTCAGACTGACTTCTTTCACTTAGCAATATGCATTTAAAGTCTATCCGTAACCTTTTGTGGCTTGATAGCTCATCTCTTTTTAATCAGTGAATAAATATCTATTCACCTATTGAATGACCTCTTTGTGGCTTCCAGTCTTTGTCGATTATGAATAAAGCTGCAGTAAACACTTGCTTGCAAGATTTTCTGTGGCAATAAATCTTTAAATAGGAAGATGATGGCTGAATTATATGGTAAGACTATGTTTAGCTTTGTAAAACATTGACAAACTGTTTTCCAACATGACATTTTTCGTCCCCATCAGTAATGAATGAGAACTTTTGCTGCTTTGCCAGGTTTTCTTTTTGGGGTTGTTTGTTTGCCATTTAAGTAGGTGTGTTGTAGTATCTCATTGGTTTAATGTAAAGTTCCTTGATGACAAATAATTTTGAATTTTTTTCACATGGTTATTTTTTATCTGAATATCTTCTTTGATGATGTGTCTATTCAGATCTTTTTTTTTTTTTTTTTTTTTTTTTTTTTTTTTTTTTTTTTTTTTGAGACAGCTTCACTCTTGTTGCCCACCAACAAGCCTGGCTAATTTTTGTATTTTTAGTAGAGACTGGGTTTCATCATGTTGGCCAGGTTGGTCTCAAACTCCTGACCTCAGGTGATCCACCCACCTCGGCCTCCCAAAGTGCTGGGATTACAAGCATGAGCCACTATGCCCAGCCCCAGATCTTTTGCCCATTTTTAAATTGTGTTGTTTGTTTTCCTATTGTTGAGCTTCAAGTGTATTTGCATTTTGGATGTAAGTCCTTTATCACACACGTGTTTTGTAAATGTTTTCTCCCAGTCTGTTGCTATCTTTACCTTTTTTTTTTTTTTGAGATGGAGTCTCACTCTGTCGCCCAGGCTGGAGTGCAGTTGCGCGATCTCAGCTCACTGCAACCTCTGCCTCCTGGGTTCAAGCAAGTCTCCTGCCTCAGCCTCCAGAGTAGCTGGGACTACAGGTGCACCACCAGGCCCAGTTAATTTTTTTTTTTTTTTTTCGGAAGAGACAGGGTTTTACCATGTTGGCCAGGATGGTCTCGATCTCCTGACCTCGTGATCTGCCCACCTTGGCCTCCCAAACTCCTGGGATTACAGGCGTGAGCCACCATGCCTGGCCTTCATTCTTTTAATAGTGTCTTTCACAGAGTAAAAGATTTTAACTTTTTTACAACTTATCAAATTTTTTCTTTCATGGATCGTGCTTTTTTATTACCTCTAATCACCAAACCCAAGGTCACCTAGATTTTCTTCTGTATTTTCCTCTAGAAGCTGTATAATTTTGCAATTTATATTTAGGTCTACAGTTCATTTATTTAAGTTCATTTATTTAAGTGGTCATTTCTAGATGTTTTTTGAATTTTGATATTCAATTGTTCCAGTACCATTTGTTGAAATGGCTATTTTTTCTCCATTGAATTTCTGCATTTTATATTTGTATATTCCTTCTTGTACAATGAGAATGAATAGTCTGTAAATAGGCATAATGAGAACTCAGGTTCTCAGTATCAATATAGTTACTCATTGCTCAAGTTCACAATACAATGATTAGTGCTTTCAAAGTTACTACTCCAATACTACTATCAAAACAAATCTTCTAAATAGAGTTCAAGGTTTCTTTGTTGTTCTTTTTGTCCTTAAAATAAATCTCAGCAATTGTATCTAGTGATATATTCAAGAGTTACTTGGACAAATCCTGGTTTTCTTTTCTATGCATTTGATAGCTATTTGATATTAACATAGAATCAATAGTCTGTGTTTAAATTTCTTTTTAGCTTTCCTCCATCTTTATTAATTTATTTTTATTATTTAGCATATGTGAAACATTAACATGGAATCAAAAGAAAACTATAAAAAGGATATACTTGGAAAGACTCCAATTTCTTCCATCACTCCTATACTGTATTCCTACCCATTCTCGTACATTACTAGTTACTTGTTACAGTAAGGTTTATTTGACCCCTCCAAATTTCATGTTGAAATTTGATTCTCAATGTTGGTGGTGGGCTTAATAGGAAGTGTTTGGGTCATGGGAATAGATCCCTCATGAATAGATTAATGCCCTCCTTGGGTGGTGGGGGTGAGGGAGTTCTCATGCTATTAGTTTCCTCAAGAGCTGATTGTCAAAAAGAGACTGGTGTCTCTCCCTGCTCTTTCTTGCTTCCTCTTTCACCATATGATCCCTGCACATTCTGGCTCCCATTCACCTTCCACCATGAGTAGAAGGAGTCTGAGGACCTCAACAGAAGCAGATGCTGGCGCCATGCTTTTTATGCAGCCTGGAGAACCATTAGCCAAACAAATGTATTTTCTTTATAAATTTTCCAGCCTAGGTATTCCTTTATAGCAGCACAAATGGACTAAGACATTAGGTAACTAATTTTATTGGTTTCTGGTTTATTCTTGCTGTGTTTCTTTTTGCAAAACAGCACACACACACACACACACACACACACATGCACACTCATTATTTTTTAAATTCTCTGGATTCTTTAAAAGTATTTAATTGTTTAGAGCAGTTTTGGGCTCACAGCAAAATTGAGAGAATGATACAATGATAGAGAGATTTCCCATATATCCACTGCCCCTACACATGCAACATCCCTCAGTATCAACATCCTCATCAGAATGGTTTATTTGTTAAAATTGGTGAACACATTATAATCATTCAAAGTCTATAGTTTGCATTAGCGTCCACTCTTGGTGTTTTACTTTCTATGGTTTTGGACAAGTGTATAATGATATGTGTCCACCATTATAGTATCTTATGGAGTGTTTTCACTGGTCTAACACTTTTACATGCTCTGCCTATTCATCCCCTCCACCTCCAACTCCTGGAAACCACTAATCTTTCTACTGTCTTCATAGTTTTATCTTTTCCAGAATGCCATGTAGTTGGAATCATAAAATATGTAACCTTTTCAGATTGGTTTCTTTAGTGAATATTATGCATTTAAGGTTCCTCTGTATCTTTTCATGCCTTGATGCTTGATTTTTTTCTTTTTCTTTTTTTTTTTTTTAAACACTTAATAATACTCCATTGTCTGGATGTACCATAGTTGACTTACCCATTCGCCTACTGAAGGACATCTAGGTTCTTTCTAAATTTTGGCAGTTATAAATAAACCTGCTTTAAACATCCATTTGCAAGTTCTTGTGTGGACATAAGTTTTCAGCTCCTTTGGGCAAACACCAAGGAAATTTATTTTAACATAAACAGTAAAATACTATATATAATTTTTTGCTTTGTGCTTCTTTTCACTTAAAGATACATATTCTGGAAATTATGACAGATCATTTCGCAAATATCATCCTTATTTATTTCTACAGATGCATATCATTTCACCGTATGAAAACACCAACAGTATTTTATGACTAGACATTTCATTCATTCTAATATTTTGCTATAATAAATAACTCTTCAATGAATAATATTGCTCATATGAGTGGTTTTAATATTATTGAGAATCAATCTTCAGGGTAAATCCTTAGAAGTGAGATTGTTAAATCAAAGTGTTTCTCAGCCTTTTTCCTCCCTTGACATGAATGCTTAGATCCAATTTTGAAAGCAGAGTTTTTTGTTTGTTTGTTTTGCTTTGCCTTTGTATTATAGAGGGATGGGGGAGAATACAAGAATATTTTGTTTATGCAAAATTGTCAAGGCTGAGGCAATGGAGAACTAAACTTTTAAGTATATTAACTTATCTCTGTATATAACAGCATCAAGAGGCAGGCCCCAGACTGGAAGTAAGAGGAAATTTGATTTATTCTTATTCTGGATCTAAGGAAAAAGACAAACAAAAACGAAGATATAAATACCAGCCCGGCTGCCACACCGCCAACTCCATAAGGTGCTATTCATACGTTATAAAATTGTAATAGTGTCTCCCAGCAGTTAGAGAACATGACAGCTCTGGGAACTTGGACTCTAGAAGGGAAAGGCCTGTTCAGACATTTGATATTTGGGCACTAAAGGGAAGGCGAACCTAGAGATGTCAGGAGCATCTGGACAACAACAACAGCAAAAGTTTGTTTCTGAGCAATTGGATGGATTCAACACAATTTAACTTTTATTTGGCGATACAGTATACAAGGTTTTTCAGGATACAAGCAAGCACTCAGCACTTGCTACATGCCATAGTCTATAATGTTAATTTCGTTGGCTAGTATTAACAAGTTTGTAAGTTAGGTGATATTCATATCCCCATTATCAAGATGGGGAAACTGAGATTCAGGGTGTTTCGTGTATTTTAGAACAACCAAAGTGCAGTTCAGCTACTTCTGCGCTATGTAGTTTTGGGTAATTTAGTTAACCTGAGACTCAGTCTCCTCAGTTGTAATAAGGGAGATAATTGGAATATTAGAACACAGTCTAGAGCAGTCTCAAACAGCAGCATCAACATCACCTAGCAACTTTTTAGAAATGCGTATTCTCAGGCCCAACTACAGAATCAAAACTGGGCATGGTGGAGGAGGGGGTGGTTAGGACCCAGTCATTTATGTTTCCATGAGCCTTCTAGGTGATTCCAAAGCATGCTCAATTTGGAAGACTGGTGGTGTACAGTAAGGATATGGATTCTGGAGTCTGAGTCCATGGTTTTGAACCCTGGCATTGTTTCATTGTTATACTTATTGGTTGTGTTACTTTGCTTACTAAATCTCTAGTTACTTAATCCATCTGCATCCGAGTTCACTCATCTGTAAAATGGAAATAATAACTGTATCTGCTTTGTTGAGATTGTTATAAGGATTAAGTTGTGAATGTACATAAAACACAACAGTGTCTGGCACATACTGAGTGTTGTAGTGAGTACTTTATTTTTTTATTTTATTTTATTTTTTTTATCATTAATGACTTTATTTAAATATTTCAAGGATCCCAATCCCATTTAAAAATAAAAATTGTAAAGCACTCCATTCAATAAAAGCACATAAGTCCCCCTCAATAATAAGTATGACAATTCACAATACAGCTCTTACTCTGGAGTTTATTTTACCCTTTATTCCAAAAGGCACAGTCATCTGAGGCCTCAGATATTAACCCCACCGCATGTTAATGTCACACCACTAATGTGTAACTCAATGTAATTATTAAAGCTTATAACACACTTCCCCAGGAATTTATAGATTCTTTCTATAAGTAATAATTAAAAAAATACTGGACCTTAAGACCAATACAGGCTTAACAAGAGACCTGAAATTTCCGCAAGGGGAGTTCTGTTTCTTGATAGAAGTACAACTTCTGAATGTCTATTCCCAGCAACAGAAAGACTAGACCCAGCTTGGCCAAAGAAACAAAGTAAAACGAGTGATTTCTAACACGCTAAAAGAATATGTTTTCATCCGCTCCACAAGAAAGCAGTCCTGGTCATTCAGAAGCCTCCTATCGTCCCACCAGTGTGCAGTCATTAGAAATAGACGCTTCACAGGCCACAGGCTTGTTCTGGATTCGGTTTCAGACACCAGTGACACGAAGAGGCCAGTTTTGCGTGTGAGGGATGTGGGCCCCCACTGCCTTGGGCCTGCTCACCGGGGTGGGTGGACGCCCGCAGGGTCACAGGCTGCTGTCACGTCCGGACTGTTGGCCTCTTCTGCATCTGGGCTGTTGGGTTCTCCTGCTCTCTGTTCCTCAGGCACCTCATTCTCTGGCTGTCCAGTGCTGGCTGCACTCTCATTGGTGAGGATAACCCCTTCCTTCTTCTTTTCTCCCAACACCTCCAGCCCCATCATCCTGAGATAATGAAGCCGCTCATTCTTGGGCACAAAAGTTCGAATGGAGGCCTTTCCCCGCCATCCACATAAGATGATGGGGCACTGCAGAGCGTCTGGATTCACAGAATCTGGTTCATACTTCAGCACGATGCTTCCCTTTGCCAGGTCCTTCGCTTGATTGTACGTCTCACTGCTGAGTTTTCTAAAAAAGGGATTTTCCTGGGTCAACAGTATCTTAACATCTTCCATTGATACAGTAATAATTCTTGAATTAATAAATGGATACAATGTATATATTCCCTCCTGTGCCAGCCGGAAAGCACAGTCAAACTCTTCACCACTGTTATTTCGACACCAGACTTTTATCCCTGTGTTAATAACCTTCATCTTCTCGCTGTTGTTCAGCAGCACATTCCGCAGCTCCTTAGAAACCATGTAGAGCTGCCTCTTCTTCCCTTCTGTCGTCCGAGTCAGCAAATTCATCCTCGGGAATGAAGGCGCCAAAGCATAAAATTTCTCAATAGGTGGAAATAATGGGTCATCTTCAGGAATAAATACAAATGGGTCTTCTTTAAATCCAAATAACTTCATTTTCTTTGATGGAGGAGGACCACACACGCCATCTTTCTTATTGCCATTATTCTTTAAATCCTCAGCTGCATGAGCTATTTCTGTGTCACCAGTTCCTGTGAATGACGGACTTTCCAGCTTAGAGGGATCTGCGGTTTCCCTTCTGCAGGGCTCAGCTGTGTGCTTTCTCTGGTCTCTGCAGATTTACCCTGCAGCTTTGGCTGACGTTTATTCCACGGCATTGAAGATTTTTTCACCAATACTGCCACAAAAAACCCTCCAGTATTCTGATGATGCGGTAATATCCAAAGGCATCGCTCCAGGTGCATGGCCTGCAGCTTTTCCGGGTCTTTCGGAGGGAACATGGTGGGTCGGATCTGGGTATGTCTGCTGTGAGGAACGGTGTCCCAGTCTGTAAACCACTGCCCATCTTTCGTCATTACCTTCCACTGTGTGATTCCAGGCATCCACTTCAGCCCTGGCAGTTCATCAGACACATCAGCGAGCTCCAAAGCACCTTCACTTTTTTCCTGTAAAGATGCTATGACTCCTTCATCCTCAATAGGGTTTAGTGAACATGTGGAATACACCATCCTTCCACCTTCAGCCAGCTGTTCAGCCCCGCGCATTGCAATCCACAGCTGTAAGCCATGTAGCTGCAAGCTATTTAAGGTGGTCCACTTTTTCCAAACATCAATGTTTTTTCTCATAGTGCCGTCTCCACTGCAAGGGACATCACATAAAATTCGATCATAGAAGAGGATCTCTTTCCTGCCGTCCACATCTATCTGGAGCCTGGGTATGCTGGAGGCATCATGGTTGACCACCATGATGCAGGGGCTGCTCAGCCTCTTGGCTTGATGGACGAGCAGGTAGCAGCGCTTGTTGTCCACATCATTAGCAATAACAAATCCCTCTGGAAAGGGGACATTCATGTCGGCATGTAGCATTTCAATTAACTGTGTGGTCTTTGAGCCAGGTGCTGCACACATATCTAAGATCTTATGATGAGGCCGGACGTTGAGAAGTAGTGGTGGGATCATGCTAACAGCTTCTTGACGACTGATATTTCCAGATTCAGTTTCACTAACTAGAAACTGATGAAACTTTTCCAACTGTGGCGATTTTCTCAAGATTTTTCGACTTAAATTTGTGTGCCAGGCAAGTTCTTCAGGATACCAACTCAGTGGCTGTGGAACTTCAACTTTCTGACCGTCCACCTCCAGGTCCTCCAATTCCTTAAAATATTTGTTCTTTAAGCAATGGAGAATCTCTTTTGCATGGCTTTTGTAACCAGTAATTCTTAAAGTGGCCGGGAGGGGCTCCCTGAGAGCGTCCATGAACTGGCCCCACTCGCCCTCGGGCACGATCTTGAGCTCCTGGTAGTAGTGCTCGAACAGCTTGTTCTCCTTGACGATCTCGGGGTAGCCTCCTTCCCAGCCCGCTTCGCCGCGCCGGCCCCGCGACCGCCGCCCCATAGCCCACGCGGCCGCACACGCAGCACGCACAAACCGGCTGGCCACGGCCAGACCCTCAGTGAGTACTTTATAGCTGTTTGTTAAACAGAATAAATAAAAATGAGGTTTGTTGGGGGAATTTGGGTAATGTATGTAAATTGTGCTTGGCACATAGTAAGTGCTCAACAAATGTTAACAATTATTGTCATTAGTAGCCATAATGTCCTAATAACTTGTTCTAAAGTCCCAGAGCCTCTAAGGGACAGAAATGAGCTTGGTGCATTTTACACCCTCAACTTACATACAGTGTAATCCACACGAACATAGTCTGTATTTTCAAGGGGAGGTGAAAATAAAAAGTCCAAACTAAGCAGGTAGGCATCAGAGTAGAACTAAACCCAGGAGCCCTGGGCAGTTGCAAATATTGCTGCAAGAAACTCGATGTTGGGCTCAGAGGGATGACATCAGTATAGGGGAAGCAGTGGAGGGAGGAGGCTAATGGCTGCTAGGTCAGAATTGAAAGGGACACACCATTTCAGCTGGAAACACTCAAAACATCATTATTTCAAAATTGCTGAGCAAATTCAATGGCTGGTATTGCTGTGCTAATGTGTTAATAATATTTCTGCAGTTAGAGACAAGCCTGGGCTGTTAGCATTCAAGGCCACTTAAATTTTAAAGAGTCATTTTATGGAAAGTTTTAATTAGCTCTGGATTGTAACTAACATTCTCTTTAAAACTGTTGTGGGCGTTTGATGAAGTCTGAGTTCCAGTGGATGGAAATGAGAGCTGGATTTTACTCATTGCTCTCACAGTCTGTCCAAGGCAGTTCATCTTTTCAGGGCCTCAGCATGAGTGCTGTGTAGCCAGGCATTACGCCCACCGGAGGATTCAGGCCTGCATGTCCTCTCATCCTCTGTGCAAAAGGAAAAAGGGAGCTGAGCCCTTCAAGGGGGAAGGTATTTCTGATCCTTGACTGCAACCCCTGCTTCCCTCCTGCTGCAGCTTACACCTCTTCTTCTGAAGCCCAGATGCCCTGCCTATCCCTCAGGACAATCTCCTGAGCACAGCTGCACACTCCAGCTTCATGCTGTCCCCTCTTATCTCCCTCCTAAACTCCTACCCAGCAGGCCCAGCTGTTCATCTTTCTTCTTTGCAGCATGGTGCAGTGGGACTAACAGCAGGATTCTGGTGGACTTAGGTTTGAAAACTGGCTTTGCCACATATAAACTATATACCTTATGCTCATTAATTCTCAGACTCAGTTTTTTCATCTATAAAATGGGAAAAAAAACACCTAACAATGTTACTGTGATGATACTCAGTAGCAAGTATTCAAGGAGAATTTTATCATCATCTAATCACTTCCAACCATTCTAACATTTACTTCGGTTCTGCCTGTGTCCTTCTTAAATTATTCCATCATGTCCTCCCTTTAATCCCTGAGAAGAAGGATCTGGATGACTTCTTTGGATACTCTCCTACTGCTCCCCCTACCTAGTTCCCTGCACACTAATCAAATTTCTCTGGTGACTGGCAGACCTGAGCACAGGACATGAGCATCCTTGCTCATGGTGGAATTGGAGGATTATAAAATGACTTCAATGGTGTAGCACTTAAGAGAAAAGAAAAATAATCAATCAAATTTGAGATCTAGAACTTTATGATCCATGCTGACTCAGGTGATGGAGGAAGCCCAGGCGTGAGAAATCATTTGTGCCATTTCTGCAGCTGTTTATGTTACTCGAGGGTCAGAGAAGCTAGCAGGAAGTCAAGGGATTTGGAGGAAGTAAAATGAATCTCAACCACACCTATGATTGAGCAGGGGGAAGCAGAGAGCCAAATAAATAAGTGAGTAAATGGAAATCAACCAGTAGGGAATGTTGTGGCCTCTGACAGCTGTCATGAATGAGATCCTGAGGCTTTGGCTGGTAGAGCAGAAAGAACGGAAAGCCAGGATGGGGACAGCAAAAGACAGGGAGCATTAAAGCTCACTCCCGGTTGGTATCTTTGAAGGAGCTCGCTGGGCTGTGTGTGTTTAGTAACCATCCTTGAGCTTCTTTCCTGCAGTGGACCACCTCCCACCTTGTAACTGGCTGCCCGTTTCTGGCCATCTGCCTGTTATAAATGCAGTCTTTTTTCCTACTGGGCTATGAGTTCCTTGGGACCTAGAGCTCTGATTTTTTTTTTTTTTTTTTAGGTTTTGAATTCTGGGTGTCTACTCTGTGCCTGGACCATAATGAGGAAACTCTAAATGGAAATATAAAAAGAATAAGATCTTTGGAATTATCCAGACCTCAGTTTGAATTCAGGCCCCAGCGTCTGTCTGCTTGTCTAGTTATATCAGAGAAGTCACTTCACCTCTTGGCTTTTTCTTATCTGTAAAATGGCCAAAACGAGGCTTATCTTTCAGCTGTGAGATTTCTCTCTTGAGGCCCATGTAACATATTACCTGCTCGTGAATGGCAGTTATTTGGTGCTCAATCACATTGGTGGCTCAGGTAAGGTCTTGGCCTAGAACATCCAGTGATTTCAAGGGATGACAACTAAACCCAAATGACAAAAGCTCTTCAATTTTGCAGCTAATTTAATCCAACCATATTTAGCTAATTCAATCTGTTCTCATTCACCAATGGATAAATTGTGCTCATCTTAGGCTTAACCATGCAACTAATATGGTTTTGAGATAGATTGATTAACAAAGCCCTAATTGAGGCTAAATAAATGAGATAAATCTGTAAGTCTATAAGATCAACCAGCAGTCCAGAAACAACCAGTGGCAATATTCAGTCACCTGCTTTATTTAGCAATATTTCAACCAATACTTATCGTGTGTCTACTCTGTGCGTGCCAGGGATAAGACTATATCCTGTGTCAAAGCTGGATATTAAGAGAATATTAACTCAGCTATAGTCAGTCTGAGTAGAATATAAGAACTCTGATCACTGTGGGATCAGAGTTAGAGCAGAAAGTGTAAGACCAGAGACAGAGCCAAACTGAGAGGGGGACCAAAAACAAGGCCAAGAAGCCAGTATTGCAAATATTGCTGCAAGAAACTCGATGTTGGTTTCAGAGGTATGATATCAGTATGGGGGAAGCTGTGTGGGGAAGAGGCTGATGGCTGCTGGGTCAGAATGGAAAAGGATACTCCAGACACACTGGGAGTCAAGAGGATCTCAAACAGCTAACAGAAGTGAGGATAGAGCAGGAAGGGAGAAACAGAGATCTTAGAGTGATCAGTCTTAGACCAGCATCTTTGTGTGGTGGGGAGGAAGGGCAGGAATCAGAAGGGGGAAGAGTGAGCACACAGGCTTCTTTTATAGGCTGGCTGCATTCATGTATGTCTGAGTGAACTAACATAATTTATGAGGACCAAACAGATGTAGATTTGTTAGAATCACCACAAAATGGTACATTCTTGAGCTGTTGACTTTACAGCTCTGAGCCTATCTGTCCTTCCTGCAGAGAGTGAGAAACTGCACAGACAAGCAAATATGTGCCTATTTTCTTTCATTTTAACTGTGGCCTCAGCACTACGCCCATGTTGTCTAAATTTACTGCACACCCTATTTTCTGAGCAGGGCCATCTCACATACTTGCTTTGCTTCCTGAAATTGGATTTCCTGACATTGGCCCTGTTTCTTTTCCAACTTGCACAAAAACTCAGGGTCTACTTTATTGTCCAATTCAAATTGGGCTTATCATCCTTTTCCTAGTAAAAGTATTTATCAGTCTTTGCCCAAAACATGACACCTCTGTCCCCTCTGGCAACTATGGCTAAAAACAGCGATGGGGCATGTGATGGATAATTTTATGTCAACTTGACTGGGCTCACGGTTGCCCAGATGGCTGGCAAGCATTATTTCTGGGTATGTCTATGTGGGTGTTTCCAGAAGAGATGAGCATTTGAATCAATAGACTGAGTAAAGAAGATCTGCCTTCACTATGGGGGTGAGCATCATCCAATCCACTGAGGGCCAACATAGAACAAAAAGGCAGAGGAAAGGAAATCTGCTCTTTCTGCCTGAGCTGAGCCATCCTTCTTCTCCTGCCCTTGGACATTAGCACTCCTGGTTCTCAGGCCTCCAGACTCAGACCAAGCCTTACATCTTTGACTCCTGGTTCTCAAGCCTTTCGGTTGGGCTTGGGCTGAAGCCACATCACTGGCTTTTCTGGGTCTTCAGCTTGCAGATAGCAGACCATGGGACTTCTTGGCCTCTATAATTGCATGAACCAAAACCTTCATAATAAATCTCTTTATATTAATATATTTATGTTAATATATAAATTATATGACTTTATATTAATATATAAATCTTATTTGTTCTATTTCTCTGAAGAAGCCTGACTAATACAGGGCAGAAGACTCTGCATCTTCCCCAGATGGTTTTAAATGAGTTTTAATCACCCCTCTCCACCCTCATGCAAACATAGCTCAGGCAAGGAGTTTGAACCTGCAATGCATTTTTTTTTCTCCTTTTATGTAATCAGTTGATATTTTCCTATGTCAGCCCTTGGGTAGATTTGCTTCACTCATTAGCTAACAGAGATTATTTTACCTACCTAGGATCTTTACATCTCAGGTTCTTAGTCTTGCCCAGAGCGCTGTCTGCTATTTAAAGGAAATAGTGTGTTGTATGATCCCAAAGTGCTGTCTTCAGTTCTGGAAACTAAGGTTTGGGAAGGGCTCTCGGTTCAGGATGGTCCCAATAAAAGTTCCATGAGAAAATAAAAGTATGCTCCAATGATATGTCTTAGAATTCAGTTGCCTTCTGAATACATCCTAAATTTCTTTTGATGTGTGACTTGGTTATACTTAGTTGAGAATGTTGTTGACCGGAAATTATATTCCACTATTGAAATGCTGATGGCACTCAGGGAACTGGTGGGATCCTAGGAAAAGGTTGAGAGAAGGCCTAGAACTCTCTAATTCTTCACACTTTTTGAGCTTTTGTTTTCTTCTATAAAAAAGAAGTAACTTCCCTTCTTGAGTCCCATTTTAGAAATGCCATCTATAAAAGAAAGTTTTTCTAATAGCAGATCAGTTTCCCAATTAACTGTGTTTACATCAGAATCAAAGTGAAAGTAAAGGGA